TCTTATAATCCCTTAAAATGTTCTGACTCTGCCCTCACCAGCCCCTATTAAAAAAAGAAGAAAAAAAAAACAGTCTGGGCAAGCTTTGCAGGAGCTGCATCCCGGGGCAGCGAGGACTATCCAGCCCCGACTGCCGGCTCTTGCTGGGGGGGGATATTTGCAATAGAGCGTCACGGTGCAGAGGAATATCATCGCCCAGCTGGGCCGACACGCTGTATTTTTTTTGGATGCACCGAGTGGAAAATATTAGCCGGCAGACGAAACAAACGCTGGGAGGATACAGGCTGGGGCCGTGCAAGTGTTCCAGGAACTGTTGATAGCGAAGCGCGCTCACCACGGGGTGCAACTATGCGAGCTATGGCCCGGGAGGCTCGCGAGAGCCGGGTGAGCGGCCTCCTTCCCTGCCCGCGCCGGGAATAGCTTGTGCTGCTGCGAGCCACCTGGGCACGGCTCACGGAAAAGTTTAAAGGGTGAAAGTCCCCTTCTCCTTCCCACCGCCTCCCCCGGCGGGGAGCGGGGTAGGGTCCAGCGTTTCGCCGCCCGTCTCTCCGGCGCTAAACCCGAGAGCTGGCAGCCATCGTCAGCGCTCGGCCCTGCGGAGAAGGACCCGGCCCAGCCTCCGCTTTTGGGGGATGAGCCAAGGGATCGAGGTGGCCGGCAGCTTGGAGCGTCAGCCGCCCGTCCTAAAAATTGCTTTATTTTGCAACAAACATCCTGCTTGTTGTTGGCAGGTGGTGACTACCAACCAGAAGGCTAAAGTAGCCAGCAGCACAGGGCTCGTCTCGCCTGGTGATAAATATAGACCTGGAGCTTGCACAGCGCCCAGCTCGATAAGCCGGAGCGGCACTGGAAAAAACGTCTCGGAGGAAAATTCCCAGCTTCTGCCAATCACCTCGCTTCGGTTTTCAGGAGCTCTTTTTGTCCTCTCCCCCGCCACCCGCCTTTGCCCCCCGATGTGAAAATAAAGCCGAAGCTCGCTCATTCAGACCTTCGGCTGCGTGGTGCCATCTGCTCACAAGACACTGTAGCGGATGGGATCTGGAGGTCTCTCTCCTGCCACCTGCTCCTGCTGCGCTCTCCTCCTCTGGCAATGGTATAACCTTAAGTTTTCAGGCTGCTAAAATGTGGTTCACTATTAATTGGCTGTAAAAGCAGGGCCAGAGTAATGAACTGTCTGAACTTTTCCCTCCTCCTCATCTCCCGCGCAGGGCCAGTGAGCGGGCTCGGAGACGGGCCGCTTGGCGTGGACAACGCACAGGGCTGAGTGCGGCCTTCAATGTCAAGGCAAGGGTCACCTGGGGAAGAGTCGTCCTTCCTCAAAGGACCTGACGAACACGTGAGCTTCAACAAGCAGCACCTATCCAGATCTACTCATTGGACAGATTTGTTCCAGTCTAAATCAGCAATGAAAACACCTTGATGCTGGATGCCAAAGCTGGTTGAGGCTATCTGGGAGGACACACCGTTTTCAGACAGCCTTGTTTCCACCTGGTGGGAAAAGAGCCAGGGGGTGGGGGGTAAGGCTACAACCATGCCCTCACTGCAGCCTCTGCCACGCAATGTCCCAGCTGGCTGGCCCCTGCTGACGGGAACTCACGCAGCGCCTCTCCTGCCCTGGTACCATCAAGCCAGGCCCATCCCTGCTTTCCTCAAAGCCTGGCACTCTCCTGATGATTAATAGATGTGTAGCCAGAAAAGACCATTATGATAATCTAGTTTTACCTCCTCATAACATAGGCTGTAAAATTTCACCCAATAATTCCTGCATTGAGCTTGCAGCTCCTGTTTGAGCTAGTGCGTGCCATTCCAGAAGGGATCCAGCCTTGATTTAAAGACTTTGAACAAGGGAGAAAACATTTTTTAAAAAAGCTTTAGAATCGTATCAAAAGGCCGTAAATAATCATTGTTAGAAGATGTGCAGATGGAAAACTCAGGTTTTCTTTATTCCTCCCCCCGCCCTCTCACCCTTACCAGACATGGCCACAGCACTGCAACCTGTCAGTCTGAACTTCTTCTGATGGTGCACACATGTCCTTGGTTGATACAAGCCAGCCCCCATGACAAATACCACACCTGAAAGCAGAACCTTAATATGGAGCTGAAAGAAAATAAATCAGAAATAAAGCCCCAGAGGTTCAGATGAGGATATTTTTATCATGGGCCGTACCAGGTCTCGCTTGCGATCAACAGTTCCCATCCGAGCCCCAGGAAAGCATCAGTTCATAGTCCCTGCACCCAAAGCATGACCCAGCACCCTTCTCATCGCCAGCTTCTTTGCAGCACCTTCAAGATCTTCTTCCCAGGGTTGCAGCCCTCCTCTTCCTGAAACCTGCAGCTGCCGCGCTCCAGCCTGGGCTGCTTTCTCTCATTTAGGCTAGCCCTTGCCTGGTGCACAGTACTCATGGGGGAGTGTAAGGAGGCATCATCCCCGCTGCCTCTCCAAACTATCTGACCAGAGGCCTGCTGTCACAAGCTGCTGTGAGGAAGTAGTGTGTGGTGTAGCCATTGGAGCTAGCCCCACTGGAGGGGACGTGTGGGTGGCCATGCTTTCGGTGCCTGATGGAACTGCCCTTCAAGACGGGCTCGCCCTGAGGCACCCCGGGACTCTGAGCTGATTGTGCCTCCCCAGCCTTGCTGCACGGGTGATGGCCCATGTCCATAACACCCCGGTTTGGCTGAGCATGGCTGTTGTGATGCGCTCGCACGGTACTCTTTGCCACTGCAAAATGTGGTGTTTACACTCTTAGCAAGGTTAGTTATGGTGTGACGGTCCTCTGGAAGGGACTGCAGGCATGGGGACAAATGCTTCCCAAGGTCTTCTCCCCAATGGCCTTCCAAAACAAAACTAAAAATGGAGCTTTCTAGCTGGTTTCTTATTTGTAGTTCTAGCAAATTCTTACGGGCATGAAAACAATCCTGAATACCTAAAAATAACCCTTGACTTCTTCAACAAGGAAGTCATATTTTGAGATATGCAGGGTATTAGCAACATTCAGCATTCTTGCTAGAGCTGTGGACATGATCAAAGCCCTCTAATTCTTTTTATTTGTCCTTACCTGAGTTACTCCTAGGACCTCTGATGATATTTTTAACTGAGCACATTCTAGAATGCAATGTTCTTTCCACTGTTCATACTATGGACTCATATTTTATACTTTGCTCAGCTTGGAAAGTGAAGCACAGCTGCCATTGTCACTTTCTGGTTCTCATGCATCAGGAAACAGTGCTTTGTTTCAATTCCCAATACTAGCAAGGAATGTTTAAACTAAGCGATGGACATTTTATTTTATTGAAATAATTAGAAAAAACTTTTTGTTTTACAAAGCCTAAGTTTTTGGCTTAAACTCTCTGACAGTGTTCCTTCAACAAAAGCAAACACAGAAGAAACATGACAACTAGATATATTAGCAGCTCAAGCACTGTGCTCAGTTTAAGGCTATGTGTTACCGCAGGTTTGAAATGTTATTTCTGCTAGATATACAAAACCTTACTCTTTCAACAGATTTATTCCTTCATTGCTCTCGTGCTTTCCTTTTGTGCACGCTACAACTTTTTGTGCTTTGTCTCCTGAAGCCAGGGGCTATCTTGTCATAGTGAATCATCACCGAGTGCAAGATGTGGCCACTAAAATAATTTATCAGGCATCGAGCGGAAATGGTTTCCTTCATTTCTGCATACGGCGTGTCTCGGTTTGGTGCTCAAAAACATATACTCTTTGCAGGTCTGCTTGCTTAATAGGGTGTTGAGTGAAATGGGCTCCCTTGGAAGTAGCTATTATTTCCCATCGTACCATTATGGTGAGTTCTCTGAGCAAATCCCCGCTCCCCACGTTGAAAATTTACCTGAGCTTATCCAACTTTTGAAGTTTACTTACTATGAACGTGTTAAGGGGGCAATGACAGGCAGCAGCTCTGACGAGAGACGCCGCCGTGGTTCCTCTGGAGGGCACAGATTTGGCTGCCGGGTGGCAAAGCCAAAGTCGGAGGAGAGACCTACCACCCGGGCAGGGTGGCAAGGCTGCGAAAACGGAGGGAGTTAAAAGGGAAGAGTGCTGTGCCGGTGTCCTTCGATGCGAGAGGACAGGACGAGTGCCAGGGCAGCCTGCCAGGGCAGCACAGGCGGCGGGGCGGGCAGGGGAGCCGTGCTATTTGGCGAGTTTGCAGAGCTTTTGCAGAGCACCTGCTCGGCCTTGGGGCAAGCGGGCAACCCTCCATCCCGCCCAGCTGTAGGCCCCGACCGCAGCTGACACAGAGGAAAAGAGGAATCTCTGCAAGAGGTGCGGAAACGAACGCGTATCAGAGTGCTAATGTCAGTATATGATGAGCTATGCGGCGTTAGTGTCTTGCGCTGCCTAAGTCACACTGCTGGCACTTAAATTATATGTGCGTGACTCTGCTGTTTGTTCCGTTAAGCCTCCGAGCAGCGTGAACCGGCTTTTTCCAGAAGCCCAAGCACAGTCATAGTGAGCCTCATTAATTAAAAGAAAAAAAAAAAGGCCACCTCCTGTGTCCTGACAAACCTGCCAAGAGTTTATTCAACACCAGAGCAGACGCGGGCCCAACCAACAAGTATTAAGGGACGTGCGTTTGGGAGCAAGGCCAGTCTGGTGCATTAAATCCTGGGGGGTGAACATGCACAGGAGGTACCTGTTGGGGGCCGGGCAGACGCACCTAGAGCAGCCTTCCCCGCTGCACGCGGCCGGCTCGCTCTGCTGCGCTCAGCCACCGAGCGGGAGCGCGGCTGCAACGCTGCGCTTGGCTGCCCGGGGTGGGAGAGCAAAGGAGGGGCAGGGGACACCCCACGGGGTTTTGTACGCAAGAGGAGTTAGACGGTCCCGAGTGCAGCTGAGCCCCTTGGTGCCTCCATCCTGGGGGTCATATAGTCCCTCTTCTGCCGTGTGGCCCCATTCCCCCCTGTGCAATGCATTGGGGAAGGAGGCGCTCAGCGAGCCCCAAGCACTTCCCTTGCTCCGGGGATATCTGGATAATTTTTTTTCCCAGGAACGCAGATGCCTGCTCCGTGGCCTGCTGTGGAGAAGAAGCGCTTGCACTGGGGTGCCTGGCCCCGCAGGAGTGACCCGGACACAGCTGTCCCACTGGGCACCGCAGCCTGCCCAGAGCGGCGGGGGGGAACCCTGCGCCGCACAAGCACCCGCCCAGGAGGGAGCAACAGGGCGTCCGTGCAGATGTTGTTGCTGAAAACAAGCTGTGTTTGTTCAGGCAGGGCTGCTCCATCCAGCAATGGCGGATTTGGCTAAAATAATGCCCCTCCCTTGCTCCAACCACTAATTATGAAAAAAAGGGCTTTGGATCTTTTTTCCAACATAGATCATTTCACCATCCTAGACCAAGGCATCATTTGGCAAACTGTTACGCAGGCAAAATTTGGAGAGGGCAGTAATTCCTGGGGAGGAAGGAGGCAGCAGGAGCATGTAACAGGCAACAGGATCAACTCCAGGGCTGGAGTACTGACTGGCTGAGCTGGTTTTGCACCTAACAGTACAAATCCTATTGCTTCAGCCTCCATGGGCAAACAGGAAAGGTTTTCCTCACCTCTTAGGAACTTCTTCAGTGAAAGAGGTTCTTGGGGACTGTATTCAAGGAAGCTTGTAAGATTACATGAATTTAGCTGCACCTGCTCCATCCAGAGCGACAGTCTTCTACTCCTCAAATGGAGAGTTTAGCTCACGACCCTCCCACAACACTCTAAGTCTCTTCTTGTTCTGGATATCTGGATGGGTTGCTCCCCTGACTAAAAACAAACTTGCTAGCTATGGTGGTCTGAAATACTATCAGCAAATTATTTACTTATCCAGCACCTTTTCTAGCGCATGGGGATGTTTTATTGCTTAAAGTAGAATTGAGAGCAATACCTCTGGGAAGCTCTATGCACCATGCTGAGATTCCTGAAGAATACCGTGCTGGTAACCTGCTGTCATCTGCTGGAGAGGAAGAGCTGACTACAGGAAAAGATTAGAGGATAACTGTTCGAGCCATCCTTTGACATGGTTTGTAATGGGCATCATAAGCCTGTTGCCATGATTACAAGTTGAGGGAGCCCCACGCTTGCATGGTAGGCACTCAGCACTTTGTGGCATTAGGGAATTGCAAAAATAAGTAATTCCATCCCCAAACAGTTTTTTGTGAAGCATCTAAAAAAAGATCCCCAAATCCCTTTGGACATTTGCACCACAGGAATGAGGATGGCTTGTCTGTAGCTCATGCGCTCTCACCAAAGCTGATGTTAACCTGCTCCTCTCCGAATGCTTAGCTACACATGCCCTGAACTTTTCTGCCCATTGACCGCTGCAGCAATAGCCCTACTGAAATACTGATGTCAGGAACAGAAACCTGCTCGCATGGGCTGGAGCAAGCTTTTTTACTACAGCGTTACCCAATTCTGTCCTAAATTGGGTGAAAGAATATCCACGCGTTCTTTCAAGCCAATGACTTTTAAAAGCATTTAGAAGGCTTTTAGGGCAAAAATTTCCTGGCCTCAGGCCACCAGTGACACAGGAGGTGGTTTCACTAAGAGCAAGGGGTATTAGGCCTCACTCACAAAACCAGATACTCATTTTAACTAATCCCTCAGCTGGCACATCATAGTTAACGTCTTGAAACAATTTGGGTCTCCCATCTGCTTTGTGCAGAGAGGTCCACTGCCTCCAAATTCAGACTGGGCAGATTTCACTGATTGTACAGCCTCCAGTGGGATTTCTGCTTGCAGAGAGCTGAGAATACCTGGCCCATACACACCACGTAAATATACATACACATAGTTACGGCAACAACTATTTTTATGGCTGCAAAGTACCATGGAAGCAGACGGTGCTGTAATAAAACTACAATAATCGGAGTGATTTACATCCACAGGCAATTCCAATTCTCATTAGAAATACATTAAATAAAGACACTCGAGATGAAAGCTGTTCTCCAACTCTAGGCTTCAAGCTCTCCCAGAGTCACTGATGTTTTTGCTGCAGCCCCATGTAAAGATGGAGCTGGGGATTTGCCTTTAGGTATCACACTCTCGCTTGAACCTATACCAAGACTTTGGTCTGAGCCTACCTCCAGCAGAAACGGAAGGGAAAAACACTTTTCTTAGAAGCAGAAGATTTTAAGGCTGCATTTCTTTCTGAAAAGAAAGTTAAAATTGCACATGCATGCTTAAGCAGCACAGGCAGTCCTTCCCTTGAAAATCAGAGCCCAGCAGTTCCTCCAGTGCCCAAGTGCCTCTATACTGCCAGCTATCCCCAAGCCACCTGCACTCTCCAGGAATAACAAAGTAAGTAAGGACAAATACAAATTGGGCCCCTTTTGCCAGCCCTTTCACCATGGTCTCTGGGTAGAAGCCCAGTTATGCAGGGCAAGGCAAGGCCAGAGATGTGCAGGAGGACCACATCTGTCCAGCTGAAGTCCATGTCCTGAGCCAGGGCCCTCACACATGAGCCACTGGGCTCTGAGGCAAATGAGCACGGCTGAGATGGTGTAAACACACATTTCTGAACCACAAGCCCATCTTCCCTGCTTTTGCTCCTTGACTGGTTACACAAGTCACCTTGGCTGGGCTTCCCAGGCCTCCTGTACACCATTGCTTCTCACTTGGCTACTGGGAAAGTAAATGGCAGTCCATAACTCCCCGTTCGGCCTCAAGCTCCTGCTCTCCCATGTGCAGCCTGGTCGACCAGCTCCCGCTAGCCCTCTGCTCTGCTAGGCCTGACCTGGAGCTAACTGGATCCTGGTAGAGGGGGTGCACAATGCACCTAATTTACATTTTGAGCTGCTTTCCAGTGCAATTTTGAGAGGCTAGCCTCAGACAGCCCTTTACCAGACAAGGTTGCTGCACCCAAAAACGAGCTCCAGAAAGGCAAAGGATCCAGCGCAGCATCTTACTTGCACACCTCCGCTCAGCATACACAGCTCACTAGCCCAGAGCACCTCTTCCCATAACCCCTTGCTCTTCTCAAGGGACACGCTTTGTGAGAAAGATGGCAAAGACAGCAGCAAGTCCATGGCACAGTGCAATTATGGTGCACCAGCCATGGCAAAGCTGATTGCCAGCCATTCCCCTGGCAGGGACCTTTCCAGGGCCACCTCTGGGTGCTGCTGCAGTGAAGGCTCCTGGGAGCTTCTTCCCAGGCAGCACAGCCTGCCTTTTCTTTCCCTGTATACTTTAATTTTTAGCAGTTTCACCTGTGGTTTTTTGCAATTCAGTTTGCAATTTGTTCCTGAGTGGTTTAATTTGCACCTTTTAAATTAAAACCAACTTTCTTGCTGTTATCAGGCAGCAGGTCTGAGCATACAGCTACAAAGCTTCTATTTTTATGTACATGTGAGCTCAGTCAAGCCCAGGGTTCCTTGCAGCACTGTGGTTCTCAGCCCAGAGCTATGGCAATGGGGAGCTGAAATGCCAGAAAGTTTCCATGAAACATTTTTTAAAGTGTCATCAAGCTACAGAATGAAATGGCACCTCAAGATCCCATATGAGAAACTCTGAAATTCATATTTCATTTGACTTTAAAAAATCTGCCATTAATCATTGCTATTCACATTATTCACAAGGAGCAAAATATTCCATTGCGGAACAGAAGCCTCCTCACTCCAGAAGTTAAAAAAAAAAAAAAAGGACAGAGCAAGTGAGAAGTCCTGTGACAAATCACAGAGTATCTTGCAATCTGCAAAACAGCACATTCATTAGCACGTAATTACTTACTGCAGACTTCATGTGTGGCATAGATGTAAATATATTTGGGCCTCCCTGAAGTGTGGGACTCAAATAGCTCCTGGGGGAACTTTCCAGCTTTGCCAATGAGCTAGGTGGGCAGAGTCTATCCTATGCCTTTAGTTTCTGCAGTTGCAATGTCTAACTTCATGAGACAAAGTTCACGGAGGTGATTCACTCAGGAGGCATGTCAAAACAGAGCATCAGGCTGTAAGAACACAGAACAGCTGTCCTGGGCAGACAGACCTCTCCAGCCCATACCCAATGGCCTGGAGAAGATGTCTAGGAAGGGCGTAAGAAAAGTGCAGGCATGCAACCAGCCTTCCCCAGGGCAATCCCACCCCATGCCTCAGGGACTTCCTCAGCCTGAAGTAACCTCCCTGTGTTTAAGAGCCCTTGAAGGAATTTTCTTCCATGAGTGTGAATTGCTGTCTGACCCCTTATGATGCTGTTGGCACACAACCTGTGCCAACAATCTCAGAGACTAAGTGCTGAAATACCTTTTTCCTCCTTTTAAACCTGCTTCCTAAGAAATTTATTTTGTCTTTAAGTCTCATGAGAAAGAGTTAAGGTTCCTTCCCATTTCCGTTTCTTTCGCAGCCCTCTGTCACAGTCACCCTCCTGCTGTGGCCATCTCTTTTCTAAGGTGGTATAGCCTAGCCTACAAAGCCAATTCTCATGCAGAAGCCCTTCCATACCTTTGGTCACCTTTTTTGCCCACCAGTGCAATGCTGGCTGTGTTGATATGCCTGAAGTATCTCCAGAGGAGTCAAGGTAGGTGCAGGTAGCAGGGGAGCCACATCAGCACAATATTATGTCTGAGGTTATCATGCTACGTGTGCGGCGTTGCCCCGTTGGCCTACACATGATGCACAGAAGTCTCATGTGCAGCCTTGTGAAGCACGCTCAACCCCCGCACATCACTGCTGGATTTGCCAGTGTGTATGCTGTTTTTTTGGATCCAGCTCCCAGTGCCCCAGTGTGATCACATGGTCATGGTACGGTGGAGGTAGGGACGAAGCTGAGCATTACTTGGCCCATTTTGGAAATAGCGGGCGGGGGGGGAAGGGGCAGCCCAACTGCCTCTGTCTCCCAGCCCCTGTTCGAGGGCACCCAGCAAGCAAATGCAGAGCCTGCACCTGAGGAACAACCACAGAGGAAACCTCGTACTTTGTATCCTGGGCAAAGGATGCTTCCACCCAGGAGGTAAATTAAGATGGATGGGGAGAGTGCAGCTCTTCTCCTCGCTGGGATGCAGAGGGAGCACCCTCCAGCTGTCGGCATAGCTTTCCTCTTGCTCTGCTACTCCACAGTTCATCAACACACTTCAGTTTAATTACTGCTCTTACTTCCTGCTTTCGAGAAGCTGCCCACCCCCTTACTGCTTGAGCAAGGAATGATATTTTACTGTCATTAAACCAGGCTGGCCAGCAATATCCGATATGTGTTAATATTTGCCTGGTTTTAAGTGAGGACCAGCTGCGAGGCTGAGGGCCGAACACACCAATCATCTGTCACATATTCTTCTGTATCTGTCGATGTGGGGAATCAAACCGGATCAATTTTCTCGGCTGCGTGTTGCTTTCCAGTTGCTACCTCCTCCCCACCTCTCGTTATCTCATGACATTCCTGTGCGCTCACTTGCCGGGGAGCTGAACGAAACCGATACAAAAGGAAGCTATGGCAAAATTTGCACTGACGTTTTCTGGCATTGTCCTTATTCTGTAGTAAGTCAAAATGTAGAATGTGTCTGATATTTGTCAGAGAAAAAATGTCACCTCCTACCCCTTCTTCCTGAGGAAAAAAAAAAAGAAAAGAAACACAGTCTGGAAGCTTTCAGGGCCCTGTACTCTTCCAACAAAGAAACTCATAGCAGCCTAAATGCTAGAGCAAGCTTCAGCACAGATGTGCAGCTTGCACCCCAAGGAAGAGATCGTGGTAGCTTCAGTAGCTCCTGCCTCCCGCTGGATTACTTTTAAAGCATGCAGCGTCTTCTAGTCTTTCCAGCCTCACACCTGACATTTTGGGAATTGCCTGGCTGTTATCACCATGGACCTTTTACATCCCCATCGTCCCCAACGTGAGAGGGATAGAAGGAAGGGCTGTTTATTCCCCACTTCCCTGGTCGATCTTGCCTGCTGGTGCCTTCCTGTAATGAAAAATATCACAGCAGGAAATCCTCAAGCGGAAGAAAAATCTGGTCTGAGTATTGGTTCTTCTTTCTCTTTCATGCGTCTTTTCCCCTCTCCAGCTCAATTTGTGTTCAGCTGTATAATACTTTGGGAGGAAAGCCTGCTGGCATAAATAGCATGAACGATCGCCCTATTTCCTGTGATTGTATATGTCTAGATGCATGGGTGTGTTTCATGTGTGTACGTGTGCTTTTGAGTATGAGTATGCACATATGCAAACATGTAAGTAGGTCAAAGGATAGCACCTACATATATATGTATTATTTATTGTACTGTATGGCATTTAAAAATAAAGCACAGCAGATGTAATATGTAATGCAAATGTCATATGCAAATAATTTACTTAGTGTCACAACAACAGTAATGGAAGACAATGAATACAACTCCGCGCAAATCTATCAATCAGTTTTGCATTTTACATTACGCACTCACTCAATTTGCTGGAGATGGCACATGGAAAATGGCTGTCATTAATACTTTGTATGGAAGCAGATGCAGCGTGCACAACTGTGAGCTGGCTGATGCAGTACCTTTTATTACCCAGATTAAGGATGGCAGACAATTTATTTGCTAAAGGCCAACAGCAAATAATCTTTTCCCTGTGAAATGAATTTAGGCAGCTTGAGGTGTGGCCAGAAAGCAATTAAGTATATTATTAAAACAGGGCAGGAGATTGCAGTCATATATATATATATATATAATGTATATGTATATGTGTATATTATATATACATATATAGAAAGGCAAATACGTCTTCAGCCACATTTGGAACCAATATTCAAGTCTGAAATGCAATAAGGTTGGAAAATACGTGCCTGTCTTCCTTGGTTAATGTTCAATCTTTGTACTTAATCGTCTGTATTAATTATTCCTTTGCACTGAGTTTTTACACATATGAAAAGCAGAAAAATTCATTTTGTTGTGGTTCATGGATTTTTAGACTTATCTGGGGTTGAGCATAGCATGGATGAAGGTAGGCTGACCACAAACCACCTCCATCAGCTTGCAGACCCCCTGCTAAGAGCCTTCTCACCTCCCGACGTGGACTGATCTGTTCTGGCTGCCCGAGGGGAATGGGATATTCCATGTCAGATGTTGTCTGTTGTCAAGGAGACTAAGTATCTAGGCTATCAAGTCAAGGGATAATATAATAAACATTCAATGAAATACATGCAGCTTTTAAGAAAAAGAAGTCAAACAAAATTTTCCATAGTACATAGCTTTTTGCCTCTCTTACTTAGAGGTCTTTTTTAGACAGTAAGATCGGAAAACAGTAGGTTTGGGATTTTGCTGTAAGAGAGAGACACAGAGATATGCTATCTTTATTCAAAATGCTCGCAAATGTATGAGGAGAGAATATTTTCCTCTATCAGAACAACAATAGCCACATAAAAGCCTTATAAAGTGCTCTCCATTCATGGTATTGGCACAAGACACCAAGTAAGTAAAATGTCAGGGACTTGGAGACAGAGGTACTAAGTGTGGTCCAGGGATGTGCCGTGAAAGTCAGCCAATGGGTATTCAGCTTCCCTTCCCCGCTCCGTGAGCTCTGGCCAGAAAGTAGTTAACCATGTGGTTAGGGAGGGTAAAATAGAGATTCTCAAGATTTTTTTCCTCGTGGAATAGCCAATATCCAAATGCAGATGTTGTTCGATGGTGCTGACATTTTAACATCTCTGTGGTGCTCGTATTGCTGCTGCCACTGCAGGCAATGCAGGGGATGGGGCCCTGACATCCAGAGCAAAAGGTGTAAACTGTTACAGCTGGAACTAAAAAGCTGGTTTCTTTTTTCTGAGGCTATAAAAGAGCAGCAATATAAACTGAGGTAAACCCGGGAACATGAATCACCTTATTCCCCCCTTCATATTTGGACAAAAAGATGTTTAATCACTTAATACGAACATCAAATAGGCAAGCTCTCTTCCTTTCTTATTTCTCCGCTCCACTCGAAAGGAGTAATATCTTTGCCCTGACTATCAGGTACGCAGGCAGACCTGCTTCTGGACACCAGCGTTGCACAACGGTATCAGTTGCTTACTTAGAGAGTGCATACAGCATATCTTTTCTCTTTTTTATTGTGACCAAACAGTGAAAAGAGATAGCTAGGACCACACGGTCCGCCAGGACTTCACACAGCATCAGACTGTGTCGTACGGACAGGCAATGGCTTGGGAAGCGTTGCCACATATATATTCTGCCCTCACTTCTCCTGTGCAGACCTGATCCAAAATGTTCTGTCTGAGCAGTTTTCTATTAAAGAAAGCGCTTTTGTCCCAAATAAAATTTCCTGGGTATTGATTTGGATGAAATTATGCTTTTCTTTGCTTAAGAAAATGGGAAAAAGTGTGCAGATCATCTGAAAACATTATACTGACCAAATCAAACCCAGATCTGTTGTTTTATTCAAAGCCTTTCAATTAAAACAAAACATACTTTTAAAGTGAAATTTAATTCCAGGGGAGATTTCAAAATTCTTCATTTACGTTTGGATCAAGGGTCTGCAAGGAACCAAGGAAAACAAGGAAACTGCAAGAACGGAAGTTACCCGGTTAATCTCTCTACGAGCTGACACAACCGCAGCACTATCTGCTCCAGGGTTCTACTGCGGGACAAGGCTAAGATTCAAACTAACCGAGTGTGATAAGACACAGGCCAAGTAACACAACAGCTAGCACAGTGCTCAGAGAACTGAAGTAGCTAAAGAACTAAAGCTTATGCCAATCCACACTGCTTTATATAAAATTATTTTCTCAACCTAACTGGATGCCTTTGGTGAGATGATGAGTTTGGCTGAAAGAGATAATTGGCATTGGACCTGTATTGCATGGCCTTGGCTTAGAAACTAGAATGGCATAAAATCAATGTGTCAATATTAAATTAAATTAAGCCACTACAAGCAGCTTAATGTCTACATCTTAAAATAAATTGTGAATAGCAATCATCTTCAATTGTGTGTATTCCATGCAGGCCACATCAGGGATCTTTTTTTTGTCTCCGTTATAGCTAATATTTTTCTCAACATCTTAGCAGACTACCTAGCTTCACCACTGATAAAGTTTCAGGTGATACCACACGCAACAAAGAGAGGATATCACAGATCAGCTTTACCTGGTGACCTGCAGACAGGCAAAAAAATACTCAGTTTAATGCAGCCAAGCATAAACCCATACATCTGAGGAACAGAAGATGCTGACGAAGTGGGCTACCCATGCCCACATCCAGCCTGTAAGGCTAACTCCTCCTCTAAGAGCCTTATTTGCAATGTAATAGCCTAGATGATCCTGGCAGAGCCCCGTAGGCGTTTGCATCTGCCAGCACCTGAGCAGTGCTGCCAGGACACACACTCAGATGCCTCTCCCTCCCCTCAGCTTCCATCTGCTAAGGTTTTTTGTGGGCCTACCTGTTGCTATACTACAGACTTGTAGTAGTTGTAGAGCTCCCTTTAATCACAGTGTAGAGGCACCAGACACCCTACAGCGGTAGGGCTGCAGTCATTTTCCACCTCGACGCTTTCCCTCCCAGCAGGCTTCCCGTGCTCAGGTTGTTGCTGGGGCTAAGCGAATACAGATGCTCACCTGACTCTTCTCCGGCGGCAAAGTGCACAGCACTGCAGCTTTTGCACGGCTGCTGAGCTGGGATGTGTAAGGGACTTGCCCACAGGCAGGAAACACACTTCTTTCAAAGTTGAAGTAAATCTTTAGCTTAATAGCCTCATATTTGTGTGCCATCTTTTATGTCCTCTCAGAATGTTATATGGCACATAAAATGCGATAGGTTATTAAAGTTAAAGCGAGAGAGTAATTAGCTCATATTTATACCGGGGAATGCAAATAAATTATGTTACTCAAATATCAGCCATCTCTCTAAAAACATTGCTTGCTTGGTTAATACTTTAGCAAGGTTCTCGAGATTATGCAAGACTTTCTATTCAACACAAACTCACCCAAATATTTGACTACTCTCCAGGTAAGAGAGTAGTTACCGTTACCAGTAAGAGGAGATCTCTCTAACATCGTTTGCAAAGCTACACTGAAGCCATCACTACGTGATCCCCCTCATAAGGAGGAGAGCCACAGACCCTTTTCCGTGGGCCTGTCAGCTCCAGGTCCATCTCTGGGGCTTATGAGGTGCTAACACATGAAGCAACTAATACAAATCTCTGAAGCGCTGTAGATACCGAGGGAGCCCATTCCTGAAGCAGAGGAACAACGTTTCTTTAGACTCAGAGTCGCTGCTTGGCGCTTACTTTTATACAACATCACTTGAGTGGCTTACAGCTTTCTCAAATACTAGCTATTTGGACAGAAATTTTGTGGTTCAGGCTTTCATTCTCTCTCTCCTTAATGAAATCTTAGTTGTCTACTAAAGGTCGGGTGCCTGCTGCTTTGCATTCATTAGTGGTGTTAGTAGGCTCTTTCTGCTTCACCCAGTTCCTATTTGCATAAAGCCTGTAGGAGCTTAATGTCTTTGAGCCTTCCATTCCTCTGTCAAATTTGGCTGAAGTTGGCCAACAATTCAAATGTGATGGGGGGGGTAACACAAAGAGAGTGAGAGGAGCATGATTGCATAGCTGTATTTCCTTATGAAGTAAGGCTAAAAATAGCAATGACCTTTTCAAGCTCTGTTTTTCCATGGTTTGGAGCAGAGTTGTGAAATTTGGCAGGTGCAAGAGGCCTTTGGGGTGTGCCTTCTGCTGTTCCTGTGAAAATCTTCCCAAATCTGGGCTAGGTATAACCGTTTGGAAAATAAGACCATATGTTAAGATACATGTAAGAACTAAACAGTGGAATTCCCTGATAATTTTACCCTCACTGAGCCTCTTCCTACTTTTCTGCTCTGTGTCACTGCCTGCCTCCAGGGTCCCCATCCGGACATCCCCTGCTCTGGGGTCCCGGTATGGGTACCGGGATTGCAAGTAGGGGTGCTGTTTCCTTGGCGCTCCCTGTTCTCACCTTGTTAACAACCACAGAGCGAGAGGCCGCTCAGAGCTACTGCGCGAAGGGACCAGGATGTGGACCAGATGGTGGAGCAAGATGGGCCTGAGTCACAATGTCCCAGAAAGTGGTAGTAGTAGACAGCCTCCCAAAGCCATTCCCGGTCACAGGGGGAGAGCTTACCACTGCATTTGCTCTCAGACAAAAGCTGCGCATGAGCTGCATGCATTAATCGCAGACATGCGAGCATGTAAGTTAAATAACCTAAGTTATATGTTTTGTGCTAGGAGCACAGTTTTAGGGCGGGAAGGTTTTCTTCTAAGATCAGCCCATGCTGCCACTATGAGGAAGAGAGCGTT